GTGTTGAAACCCATCCTGTTCTCATCTGACCACCCCTGTAACCTGTCTAGGTCTGACTGCAGCTTATTCCTGCCTTCTAGAGTGCCCACTTCCCCCTGCATCTTAGTGTCATCTGTGAATTTGAACAGGGTACTTCTTACCCCCTCATCCAAGTCGCTGATGAAGATGTTGAACAGTGCAGGCCCGAGGACCGAGCCCTGGGGGACCCCACTACCCACATCCCACCAGGTCGAATAGGGCCCATCCACCACCACTCTTTGGGTGCAGCCCTCCAGCCAGTTAGTGACCCATTTGACTGTGTAGGTGTTGATGCCACAGTTCCCTAGTTTTTAATGACAACTGGGTGAGAGACCATGTCGAAGGCCTTCCTCAAGTCCAGAAACTATGTCCACTGCTACCCCTGTGTCTAAGGATTTTGTGACCTGGTCATAGAAGGCCACCAGGTTGGTTTGACAGGACCTGCCTCTAATGAACCCGTGTTGGTTGCCATAAGCATAATCTCCCCTGCTGGCCCCTTGCGGACATGCACCAGGATAATTCTCTCAAAAAGCTTCCCCAGGATCGAGGCAAGAGTAACTGGCCTATAGTTTTCTGGGTCTTTCTTTCTCCCTTTTTTGAAAATGGGAACCACATTGGCCCTTTTCCAGTCCTCTGGCACCACACCAGAGTACCATGATTGCTCGTAAAGCTGTGCCAGGGGTCCTGCAATGACCTCTGCTAATTCTCTCAGCGCTCTGGGGTGGAGATCATCAGGAACAGCTGATTTAGATATGTGCAGTCCCTCCAGAAGTTCCCTGACTAGATCCTCACTGATCCTAGACCTGAGTGTGCCTCCCCTGGGGCCTATGGGCGTCCCGGTGAGGGGGCTGATCCGGCCCCTGCCCAGGAAAATGGAGGCAAAGAAATTGTTAAATAGGTTAGTGTGGTGCTTCAAACCTTGTAGGACAGTGTGGCCTGAAGTTACACCCCAGGGAATTACACAATTATGCACCTGTGTAATTTTGCACAGAAAATGTATAACTACACAAAATCATGTAATATCGAGTATTTCTCTGGGGTGGCTGGTGAGTGGGAAGGAGAGTCCCTGACTGCAGGATGGGGGGTAGGTATAGGGGTGTGTGTGGGCCTGCCTGCCACATGCCCCACATTCTACGCTGCACAGTTCCCACCATGGTGGCAGCAGCAGCAGCAGGTGGCAGGTCCACTGGGTGTTCCTGGCTGAGGCACAGTCCCCAGTGGTGTATGGCTCTCACGAATCTTGGGGGCTGCATGTGACTCCTGCCTGCAGTGCTGCGAGCCTCACGTTCTGGCATGGAGCAAGCCTGGTCTGGCTTGAAGGTGCACACCAGGTGGCCAGGTTGGGCTGCTCCATTCAGCCCCTGGGATTTGCCAGAGCCACGTGGCACCATGGGGCTCTGCCTGCTGCAGCCAGGAGTGTCCCAGGGGCTGTGCGCAGAGGGTGAGGCATGTGGCACATGGTGGCTGTGTATGGGCGGGACACGTGTGACAGTGGGTGCTGTGCTGGGGGTGCGTGTGGTGTCAGGACTGTATGTGGGGGGCATGTGGTAGGTGGGGGCATGTTCCTTTGGGGCTCTGCTGGAGGGGTTGTGTGGTGGGGGGGCTGTACATGCCCCCCCCACAAACCTCCCACACACCCATATCCACATCCACCCACAAACCCCACACATACTCTCACCCCTTCACAACCCACTTCTCACACACTTCCACACACCCCAGCCCCCGAACTACACCCCCCCGACACACAAGTACCTGCATATATTTCTAAAGAAGGTTGAAATAGTGTTATGTTTAATTTAATTTGTGAACAAAATAAAAGTAATTAATTGCTTATAATCTTGAATTTTTCTGTGCATAATTGCCTGGGGTGTATGAAGTTGCTGTTTTCCTCCATCCCCGAATGCTATGGAGCTAGAATTGCAGTCTAATGCAGGGGTGGGCAAAATGCGGCCTGCAGGCTGGATGCGGCCCCCAGTACATTTAATCTGACCCGCAGGACCCCTAAAAAATTTAGAAAATTAATATTAATCTGCCTCTGGCTGCCTGTCATGCGGCCCCTGATGGCTTGCCAAAGCTCAGTAAACAGCCCTCCGCCCAAAATAATTGCCCACCCCTGGTCTAATGCAACCGGTCTTGCCCCCTCCCACTCCCCATCTAGAGCCCCTGCTCTGAGTGGCAGCGAGAGCTACTGAGAATGATTTCTTCACCCTCTGATCCACTCACTGGGTGAAGTGTTGAGCAGGGTGGACTGTAAGACAGGATTTTTCTATTTGGGAAACAATGTGGGGAGTAACTATAAAGGAGCCCCGTTTCCATGATGTCTGTCAGGCTAGAGTCCTGGATTGTGACTGGTTAGAAATTCAGCTCTGGATTGGATTGAGGTATGTAAGAAAGTGGATTTGCAAACTACATACAGAAGCCTTTTGAGTGACCCATAGAGCCCTGATTGGGAGTGACAAGGACATAATATTGATGTCCCATTATGACGGTCTCCTAAATGGCCCCAGGAATTGGCTCTTTCTTTCATTAACTCTTTTCTCCCCATCCTCTAGAGTCCTTGCATCCCCTCCCTTCAACTAGGATTATAGTAATAAAATTTTCATTGACATTAGGGCAGGAAGGGACCTTGGAAGATTGAATCCAGCCCCCCGCCCAAAGAATACATTTCTATTTTCAAATATAGGGAAAAGGGTGCCAGGATGGCTCAGGGGGATTAGTCTCCAGGTACAAACAGGTCACTGGGTTGAATCTAGTCTAGTTGATAACAGTCTTTAGTTCTTCGCAGGTCTTTCACTAACCCCTGTTAAATGAGCCAGTGCCCCCTAGCTCAGCATTAACACAGCACTTAGACCCATGAGGCCAATGCCTAGAACATTACTCAGACGAAGTTGGCTCTAATGCCCAAAACTTAATCCACCACTCAGAACTGGTAATAACTGGTACCCTTGCGGAAGTTCCAGGGGAGAGACAAAGGAGAAAGAGAAGTCATTCAGGAGAATTTGACCACTTGTTTTTTTCCTCCAAGCTATTAAGGAAACCCAGAACAATTCATTTAGAGGGCATGATCTGCATAGTAATACACTTTGTACACTAACAAAGCAGAGCTGTACCTGCTCTCTTGTGGCACTTAGAATTTATTGACATCCTAATTAAATTGAAACAAATTAAATAGACATACAAGAAGCAAATGCCTTAAGTCTCATAGATCTTATGCTCTCATAGTTTTTTTGCTCTCTCAGTGATTAGAAGTTGTAAAATCACAAGGCAATATTAGGAGAGCTGATACTGACTCTAAAGCAGAGTTGTTAGTAATGGTGAAAAGTAGGGATAATCATTCCTGAAGCAGTCAAAGGACCTATCAAATAATATAACATTAGATGTCATTTATATCTGACTTAACTTGAATTTTCTATTTATGGTGAAAATGTGCAGATATTAAAATTCCCCTTTCTTATCTGTCTGCAGGTACTCACTTTTACTTGCTGAGACAAAATATTTCTGGAAGTACCATCTCTGGAAGCGACAATATCCAGAAATGACATTTCAATACCAACTTATTATCAATACCAGAGTACTTGTTGACATGCTGTGGCAGAGTAGGAAGAGCTTCTGGAACTGGTGAAGGTTTTAAGGAGGAACTTTTATTTCTTCAGGTGAGTAGTAAAGCGGGTAGCAGAATGCTTTGGGGCAAATCTTCACGAATGCAGCTATCGAAATCTGGAGTTGGTCTCTAGGGGCAGGACAAGAAAATGAAACAAAGCTGTTTTTAAACAGACATTTGAAACATTTTCAGTCAACAAGCAACATGAATCAGAATGCTCTTCTGGGGTAGCGGTTGGCATCATGAAACAAATATCTGCATGCATGTGGCATGCAGTTAACACTGAAAAGAATGCATGCCAAATTCTCAGCTGGTGTAAAATTATTTCACTTCAAAGCTGGCCCTAAATACTTGCCTGACAGTATTTTTTTTAAATTTATTCTTAAGATGTCTTTGTCCATTGCAGCCAAACTTTCTCAAGAAACTTGTAATTTTGGAAAAAAATTTTAATTGAAATATGATGCTACTCGGAGACTAGATTAATAAATTAGCCATCCTTCCATCAGAAGAAATTAAGGATGAATGTTGAGACCAAAATCTATTTTATTCAAATTTGCTAATGCTGACTTAATAAACCATCAAACTAATTTGAATCTACTTTAGTGGAAATGTTTAACAGTGTATTTGTCATTTAATTTCTTTCTTGTTTTTAATATAGCATTTCTCAGTAACTGCAAATTAAAAATAATTGCAGCAGGAACAAAACTGAATTAAATTGTCTAATGATATCTTGTATTCTTCTAGGTTCAATGTAGTCTTTTGGGTTAGTACCGTGGAAGCTGGAAACAGAACTACTGTGCTCAAAATGGTTTATGGTGAATTTTTTCATAGACCTGGGAAAGATGAGGAACTTATTAACCTGAATGTGGGCGGCTTTAAGCAATCAGTTGATCAAAGTACTTTGCTCCGATTTCCCCATACCAGACTTGGGAAACTGCTCAAGTGCCATTCTGAAGAGGCTATACTGGAACTGTGCGATGACTACAGTGATGCAGACAAGGAATATTACTTTGATAGAAACCCTTCCTTATTTAGATATGTTTTGAATTTTTACTATACAGGTAAACTTCATGTGATGGAAGAACTTTGTATCTTTTCCTTTTGCCAGGAAATAGAATATTGGGGGATAAATGAGCTATTTATTGATTCCTGCTGCAGCAATAGGTACCAAGAAAGGAAGGAAGAAGGTCCAGATAAGGAATGGGATCAGAAAAGCAATGATAGAAGTATGGACTCTTCCAATGAAGAATCATCCATATTTGATAAAGAACTTGAGAAGTTTGATAACCTGTGTTTTGGTGAAATACGAAAAAAAATATGGGTTAGAATGGAAAATCCTGCATACTCCTTATCTGCCAAGTTAATTGCCATTTCCTCTCTGAGCGTAGTCCTAGCATCAATTATAGCCATGTGCATCCATAGCATGCCCGAGTTCCAAAGACTAGATGCCAATGAAAGAGAGATTGAAGACCCGGTTCTGGAAGCAGTGGAGATTGTATGTATCGTCTGGTTCACGGGTGAGTTAGTGATAAGACTTATTGCAGCTCCAAGTCAAAAGAAATTCTGGAAAAATCCACTGAACATAATTGATTTTGTCTCTATTATTCCGTTTTATGCCACGTTGGCAGTGGACACAAAAGAAGAAGAAAGTGAAGATATTGAGAACATGGGGAAGGTGGTTCAAATCTTACGGCTAATGAGGATATTTCGCATCCTGAAACTGGCAAGGCACTCTGTAGGACTGCGGTCTTTAGGAGCCACTCTGAGGCACAGTTACCATGAAGTTGGACTTCTGCTTTTATTCCTGTCTGTTGGGATTTCTATTTTTTCAGTTCTTGTCTACTCTGTGGAAAAAGACGATGAAGAATCAGAATTGCACAGCATACCAGTGTGCTGGTGGTGGGCTACTATTAGCATGACCACTGTTGGTTATGGGGACACTTTCCCAGTCACCCTACCTGGAAAGCTTCTTGGCAGTGTCTGCATTATCTGTGGAATATTAGTAGTGGCTCTGCCAATCACCATAATTTTCAATAAGTTCTCCAAATATTATCAGAAACAAAAGGATATTGATGCAGACCAATGCAACAATGACCGTAAAGAGAAATGTAATGAGCTACCTTATTTTAACATTAGGGATATATATGCAAAAAAGATGCACTCCTTCATTTCTAGCCTTTCTTCAGTAGGAATTGTAGTCAACGATCAAGATTCAACAGACGCCTCCAGCATCCAAGATATTGAGGATGTTTATAACGCAACAGCTTTAGAGAATGGTACAGGAAAATGAGTTGAATCACTTTCTCTTCCTGTTGTTTCTGTTTTCTAATACTTGGTTAATGTGGATTTATAAACTTCAGTGAATTTGTGAAGAGCAGTTAATTCTCAGGGTACTTAAATCTCAGCCATATTTGGACATTCTTTGCTCTGAAGTTGTCACACAAGCTTCTTTGTTTAGATGAGGCTCTAAAATATGCCTTGTGTGGTATTTTAGATATTACATGGCTAGTATTATGCATTTTGGGAGGAAAGGGTAGGCAGCAGGCAGTTGATGTTGAATTCAATATTTGTTCCTGCATCAGAATAGGTTTCTGTAATTAACTGCTGTTCAGGTAACTGTATGTTACTAACCTGAAAGAAATAGGGCACAGATAAGTGAAGTTTCTACATGCAAGTATATTTACATTTAAAAAAGCCATTAAAAACATGTGAAGTATGTTTACTATGTATATGTGGGAGTATGAAGCTAATTTCCTAATTCAGGATGATGAATGTATTGGTATGTCGTGTTATTGCTCCATGGCAGCATAATATTTATGAATTGCCTTTGAATGTCACAGCATATTTTAGATTTATAAGGGGAATCAATCAAGTTTTTGCCAGGGTTTTCCACTGCCCCGAACCTAGTGTACTCAGTTGCATCTATACTGAATGTGTACAAACATTGTGTGAAGGATCTGTACTGCACTTCTAATAGCTTGCCTTATAGCCTACATCCAGCACTGAACTGATACCCCAGGAGAGGCTTGGGGATATAATGTGCCTTTTAAGCACCTGTGCTATTATGATCCTGGGCTGTTCAGAAGCTAGGGAGGTATCCAGCATAGCATAGACAGCTCTGGAAGCCTACATTGGTGCCTTGCTGTCCAAAGCGCTGCCCTAAATTGTTGTCATGTTATGAGTTGCCACCCTCCTCAGGTCTGCCTTCTCCCACTCAGCAACAAAGCTTGTGAGGGAGCTATGCAAGTGGCAGCCTTGTGGCAGTATTTCACTGTGCTTGGGGCAATCTTGTCCCCGGGGAATACAGGATTGCATGAAACTTCAGTTTATTAGCCTGTCATTAAGGAATTACAGTGGAGGTTAAATCAGGGCTCTACTGAAGTCAATGGGACTCTTTCCATTAATTCAAATGGGGTCATTATTTCACCCTATGGATCCGTTTCGGTGGTATTTTCACTTGGTTTCCCCTGCCTGTAAGTGACTTAATTAGATGCGGGGTTGTGGGAAATCAAGTCCACTGGCTTTGCTTTTTGGCTAAAGAAAAGCTCATGTTTCTTGTTTCTGCACCAAACCTTGAAGCCTTTGTTCAATCTTTCACTCAGGCAGATGTTTGAGAAGTCAATAATCCCTGAGGACTGAACAAAAAAAAGGAAAGCTTGATCATCTTCAGATTCTGCAAAGTTGGCTGGAGACGGTATACTTTATTTGAACTGGTTTAGTTCAAATCCATATCAGGATTTGTGGAGTAGCAGATGAAGGCCAGCCAGGTGAAGAGCCAAAATGAGCTACTTTTATTTTTTGCTGGTACACAGATTTCTTGAAAATTGCCCTTCCCTAAAAGAGTGAACCAGATGGGGCAGCAGAGTAGATCAACTACTATATCCAGAGAGGAGGATTCCCTAATCTTTTGAACCTTTTGCATTAAGACCTGTTTACTCATGCTAATTGTGTGGAATTTGGAGAGAATCCTTTCAACCGTGTATGGACTTTACAGGCTTTGGATCTTTCTTTATGTAGTGCCATACATGTACACAATACTTCACAAATAATTAAGAAGACTAATTCTTCTCTTGGTGGCCAGAGGATTACCAAGAACAGAACCTGTTCCTAATTACCATTCTTATCAGGCAATTAGTGTTACAACGATGCTATGTTGTAAAGTACGATATTCATACATAGATGCATGTGCACACTTAATAGAAGTCGTTCAGTATCACCTGACGATAGAAATTGTTCAGTATCCAAAGAAGTCCTCTTTGTAACCTTCATATGAAAGCTTATCGCATTGTAGGTGAAGGAACTAGATTTAAAGTAGTGGAAAATGTCATGCAGCAAACTCAAGTGCTATTAGAACCTTTCCTCAGTGAACTATAAGAAATACATGATAGATAGTTGGAAAAAAATAGTTGAAAACAGTGTTCTTTGTTCTATGTATAAAGCACTATACAAGTACTACAGCTATTATGGCTTTTACATGTCAAATGTTAGCTTCAAGTGATTGAGTGTAAGTTTGCAGTAAAAGGAAATAATGGAAAGTTCTTGGTTAGTGACATTCTTAAAATAGTGACAGGACAGTTTAACTGTTTGATTTCCTTTGAACTTTTTTTCTTACACATGGATGGATCATGAAACAAAGCTCTGCATTTCCATAGATGTACTTCAGAAGATAGAATACGTATTTGTTCATGTGTTTCATATTATACATCTTTTTGTTTCTTACACTGGACTCCTGAGCCATAGTTTGGGCTCCATTGCATCAATATGAGTTTTGCCATTAACTTCAGTGGAGCCACCTGAAATTTGAAAAAAAAGATTTGACTTGTTTCTATGTACTTTGCTTCAGTACATGCAAAAACCCTGGGTTTACACAGGTATAAATGAGAGCAAAATGGATCTTCCCCAAATCCATACCAACCTTCCCCATATTTTTAGGTTTCCATTGTGCTATAAGGCAGAGCCCTGAGATCTGGCTCTGCTATTTGCACCAAAGTCCTGAAACTACCTCCGGGCTTCATGAAGTGTCAGAACAGGACAAGGGAAATGTGGGACTCCTTGTCTTTCATGGAACCCATGGGTTCCTCAGTCATATCCCTTAAGAGAGACACTGGGGCTTCCTTCTGTGACTAAAATATAGTGAAGGTGCTGTCTCAAAGGGTTTATTTCTTGCGTAATGAGACTCTGCATGGTCTTGACAGACAAATGTGCACCATCATTACTAACAGAAGACGCATCGTATTTATTCTTTGCTTTCCTTCTGTATTTCCACATCACTCCATTTTCTTTTTCAAGATGTTGCTGAAATTGTATCTGTATGTGTTCAGCTGCTATATTTCAGATGCCAAAATACATGAGAGAGCATTGTTAGGATGTACATTCCATTTTGTATGGGAGAAATTTTTTTCTCTTTATACAAAACAGTTCCTTAGCAGTTATTAATTTCTTTGTCTTGCTTTTAAGAGCTCTTCTTTTGATACCCAGCACAGAACATTGTTATACAAGACTATCTGTCTTTGCAAAATTACACTCTTGTATAGTAGAAATATACCATCCCAGTGTTCTTTGCTTTCTAACTTGAATGCTTACCAAGCAGAGTGATGGGAGGGAATTTTCTCAATTCCCTTATCCTAACGCTTGCTTTCTCCCCCTTCCCTGACTAGTGCTTCTTGTCACCTCTTGCTGCCTATCTTTGGTTTCTTTTGACGCAGCCAGAAGTTTGCTCCTGTCCCAGAAAGGCTTCAGCTTGAGACGAGTCACAAGTTTCATTCAGCTACTGGGCAGCAGGCACAAAGTAGCTGAGAGATTATTGATTTGTAATCTTGCCATACATTTAATCTGTGTTTAATGCTTTTAAGTGTTGTACTTACAGTAAGAAAAGTCAGAATACAAGTAAGAATGACTATCTGAGAGTAAGCGTGAGCCTAATAAGTGGTACATCCTGGTCATCTTAGATTTGTAAATAAATAAAATTCTACTTACTGGTAAGCTGGAAATAGTTGATAGATGCCATTCATTTCCATTTAGCAGAAAGCCAGCTCCATAGCGATTTTCATCTGAACTGATTACTGTCAGGGCTTGCAAAGAACGCTAGTGGGGTTTATCTGGTAAAAGCACCAGAACAGTGCTTACAGTACTAAGAACTCCTGACATGATGCTGTCTCCTAATGCATTTATTCATTTCTTCTTGTTCTGTAACACTAGTGTAAGCGACAGAAACCTGCTACACCATGGAGAGATTTCCTAATATTCTTTGATTAACTGACAGTATTTGTGAACCTATTATTGTCTCTTCACAAACAAAAAAAAACATTTCTAAAACAAAACCAACATAAGTAAATCCTGAATTTGCAGCTTGGGCTGTGATACCAATGACTGCATCACAGTCCATAAATATTGTTGTCTAGTGCATTTTAGCCCCAGCCACACTGCTGATACATACATTTCCTAAATGTTTATGCCTTGTCAATCAAGATAAAGCCAGTGGTCAGGAAAAATCTCATTGTTTTCCTGTTTTGCATTCATTGCAATGCTGTGTTATCTATCTATAAGTGCAGAAAAACATGATTAGTAGAGAGGCCTGGAACAGATCACTTTGATATTTTGTATTTATTTAGGCTAGACTGTGCTTTTGATTGTATGCTTACCCAGGGGATTAGGAGGGTAATAGGAGCCAGCCTATGCCTCTAAATGGATTACCAGGGCTTGGGTCCAAGCTGAGTTCTTGCTTGCTTTCTCTCTGAGCAGCAAGTTGGTCAGCCCAACTGGCGAGGTACAGAAAGTAGCAGTAATTCACCCCATTATAGGGTAGTAGTACCCTATTATCACCCTGGTTGCAAAAAGAGAGTAATGAGGTGTGATATGCCTGGGTAGCTACCAATTACCACAGATTATGGATTCTCATTCATTAAGACACAACTTTGTCTTAATTATTTATCCCATTTATAAAAATGTCTAGGGGCCTGTTTGTATGCCCTGGGCATAAATAGAGCTACACAGTCCAAAGGACTTTCCATACACTTTATGAATTTCCATCAAACCTTTCCATCCACTTACTCTGAAAAAAGCAAGACAGCCGTGCACCATGCATGCATAGCTAATAATAAACCTGGACTTTTGCAGGCTGAGGCGGAAAGCTGAGGACCCCTCATGGAAAACAGCATGCCTCTTTGTACCAAAGGGGATCCAACTGATCTCAGCTGCTGCAAACTGGTGCCAGGAGGGAAGTGATCTCTTAGATTACAGCATCCCAACCTAGCTGGTGCTTTATGCATTAAAACCA